AATTGGGGTTAAGTGACTTGTCCAGAGTCACATGGCTAGGAAGTATTACGTGTCTTTCTTAAGGCCCACATTCAAAGCTTTTCAAACTTGCTGAAACTTAGCACAGTCTCTGCTCCATCACATCAACCTCATAGAATCCACAATTACCTTCATATCATAATTAGCCATTAAAGGTGGACTTCTAAAAAAAAAAAAAAGTGGACTTCTGAGCCTCCCCCCCCACAAAAAACAAGTAGGAAACCTTCTGAAGTAGATGAGGAGGAGGACAGAGAGACTTTCCTTGGCCCCAACCTTCTTGAGGAAGGAAAGAAACCCTGATCAGATGGAGCTAATAATGGTAATAGACAGGAAAGCTGACAGACCAGTCCCTGGGGCTGACAGAATTAAAAACATGGAGGTAATAAGGAAACCATTGGGGATCAAGAATTGGCTGTAGTGGGTTTTCACTTGCAAGATAATGGATCTGTGTGATTTAAGAGTTTGAAGGTACCAAAGAGGCCATCTAGACCAATTTGTTCTTATATGAGAATCTTCTCTACACCACCCCACTTAGTGAACATATAGTTTCCACTTGAACACCTCTCGTGATGGGGAGCTCTCTACCTCATGACAGCCTGTTCCATTGCTGTTCAGGTCTAATTGTTCAGAAAGCTTCCTCCTTTCCCCCTACTTGTTTCTAGTTCTGTCCTCTAGGTTTCAAGAGAACAACTCTAAAATCTTTTCAATATGACAGTAATAAAAAATACTTGAGTATAGTTATCTAATCTCCCCTAAATTTTCTATTCTCCATTGTAAATGTAGCGTAGTCATGTGGACTCTCATAAGCAGCTGTGGTTCCCACGGTGTCTTCCCCAATCCCTAATTACAAAGTTCCTGTACCAGGTCCTTATCACTTCCAGGCTTTGGAGCCTTTGCTATTGACATGGAGCTTTTCTAATTTGGCTGGCCCAGGGCGCCATGACTGTCATAGGAAAACCTTAGTGATTGGCAGGGAGGAGGTCTCCTGTGACCCAGCCTGACTTATCTCAAATCCTAGAAAGGAGGGAATTTAAAGCCAAGATATCAGGAATCATAATCATAGTTTCACAGTGTTTTAGATTTAGACTCTCACTTCACACATGAGGAAGCTAAAATCTAGGAAGTTAAGTGACTGGCCCATGGCCACAAACCCAGCAAGTAAATAGAAGTCAGATTTGAGCCCCAGTCTCAGAATTTCCATCCTGTAGTCTTTTTGCTGCCATACAGAATCAGATAATTTGAGAGTTGGAAGGGACCTCAATCACCATCTGATCTAACCCATATACAAACAGGAAGTCCACAAACAGCATGCCTAATGAATGACTGCCCAAATTCTGTTTGAAAACATCTCATGTCTCTGGGAGGAGCCCATGCCTAGGAGAACTCTCTTTGGTAGTTTTTTTCCTGCCTCTTTGCAGTCTGCGTCACTAGTTCCTAGTTTTTCTTTCTGGGACCAAATAGAATAAGTGTGATTTTTTTTTCCCCTTGATACAATAGCATTTATTACCTTGATTTGACCTCTTTTATAGATCTCGATCATTCCAAAATTAAAATAGAGCTGGTCAGAAATTATGTTTGTGGAAAAATAATTTCTATTTCCCCACCTGAAATTGGGGCATACAGACTTTTCAAGAGTATATGTGAGCTATAAAGTTAGGTATACCTGCATGATTTGCTTCTGTCCTCCTTCAGAGATAAGAGTAAAACACAAAAAAGGGACTGAGAAAAATGTATAGCACAGATCTAGTCGGAAGGTATAATTATCTTCCCATAAAGACCCTAGATGAGAAATCTTTATGTGGTGATTACCCTCTTTCTGTGGCTTTATTTACTATCTGGTAGTATTTGAAATGCTAATCTCTTAGGTCTTAACTTGATATTTAGAAATGTACATTTCCAGCATGTTTTTTTTATTTTCAAGCTTTCTTATTCCTAAAATCACTCCTTTCTCATGGACATTTGCTCATGATGTTCCTTAGATATGGTGGTAGATTATGGAGAAATTTTCATTTAAAGATGAGTATGTTTCACGTTAGATTAGAAAAATTTCTTGATATGTTAGGGTCATGGTCTTGAGGGGCAGATTTGTGATTATTTTGGCTATCCACCTTCTTATCTTTGATCACTGTATTTTTCTGTGGCCTGGTGGGTACAATTTACCATTTTTTAGATGTTGAGCCCTGCAGTCATTTAGAATGACTTAACAGTCTCTTTTCCTATTAAGTAAATGAGACTGTCCTATTTTTATTTAGAGATCGTAGATAACCAAGTCATCCTAACAGATATCCATTTATACAGTGTGTCTCTTTTATCGTAGTGCTATTTTCAGCCAATGATACTGAACTGTGTCAGTATTTTCATTTATAGCTCTGAAGCTTTCCCAATATAAAACTCAAGTCATGGACTGGGTTTTTTTTTCTCATATGAATGATTTAGAACAGACTAATAATTATAGCTCTGTTCCATTATTTAATGGGAATTCAAACTGAAATCAGTAGCTCAGATTTTAAAAAAAAAATTGTTGTTCAGTCACTTCAGTCATGTTCAACTCTTCGTGACCCCATTTGGGTTTTTTGTTGTTTTTTTTTTTTTTTTGGCAGAGATGCTGGAGTGATTTGTCATTTTCTCCTCCAGCTCATTTTACAGATGAGGGAACTGAGGCAAATAGGGTTAAGTGACTTGCCCAGGGTCACACAGCTAGTAAATGTTTGAGGTCAGATTTGAACTCAGGTCTTCCTGACTCCAGGCCTGTCGCTCTGTGGACTGCATCACTAGCTGCTCCCTATATATATAAAATCTATGTAACATAGGGTTTAATTAGGGTCTCGTTTGGAGCTGTAGTGAAATGAGTACCAAGAGATAGAGGAACAAATAGAAATAACATCCTGTTTCCACTTTTAAAAAGGAATTCCAAAATACATAGCACAGGTGAAGATGTCTTCTTGTCATCAATCCTATTGGCCTTGTACTTGATGAGATCTGGGGCTCAGAATGAACCACCTGGAGATAAGAAATAACAACTGACATTTATGTAACAGTCTAAGGTTTGCAAAGCATTTAACATCCAGTGTCTGTACAATAAGCCTATATACAGTTCAAGCATATTATGATCCCCATTTTACAGATGAAATGCGCTCAAACAGATGAAGTGACTCCCTTATGGCCACGCAGCTCTTAAGGGGTCTCTGCTGATTCCAGGTCTAGCCTCTTTATTCTGCATGCCATGATTTGAAGATGTCAGTATCACAGCAAGGGAAGGTTATTATTGCCATCTACAACCTGAGTCAATAGTGCTTCAGGAGGGAGAATACTTCCCCATGTATTGAGCCATGTTAATTATAAGGGGAGGATCCTCAGTCCCACAGAAATTATTTTTGTTGGACTCAACTTGAAGCATCCTTATCAATTTTTTCAGGTACTATCTCTTGACTGACCATGAGACTGAATATGAAATAATTAATTTTAATATAAAAATTCAGAAGTTGTGACCTCCTTTAGGACATAGCTCTATGTTAAATGTGTGTATAAATCCATTTAATGGGGCTTATATATCTTCCAACATCTCAGGAATCACAGAGATTTGCCCCCCACAGCCCAGTTTAGTAATGTTTTTTCTAGAAGTGTATTTTCCCCTTCTCCCAATAATGCATGCTACAAACTGATTACCAAGTTAGCAGTGTTTTCCATTTCCTGTAACAGATGTCCAAATTGGTTTATTTTGTGTCTTTGGAATATTGTTTCTAGTGAGATTTGTTCCCTTCAAAATTTTCCTTTTAGCTTCCTCGTCATAGGAGGAAGGAACTCTCCCTTGATAGAATTCAGCGTAGTAGTAGGGTATTATGGAATAATAGGGAACTGATTGTAGATCTCTGGAAAAGAGTTATTGCTTTGCTTTGTGGCTTTTGTATGACCTTGCAGCCCAAAGAGAATTCCTGCCTTCCATGTGATGCTAAGTGAATGGTGATCATACCTCTAAGTGTGTGAACCTTGTTCCCTTTGAAGTGTGTGTGGAAGGGATTGTCTTAAGCAGAAAGAGCTCAGGGGGGAGAATTCAAGCAACAACCAATTTCTGGAGTTAATCGTTAGACAGCCTTGGTGCAGGGGAAAGGAACTGGGTCTCTCGGGAGAGGATCTGGATTTCAGTCTCATCTTTGCTCCATGTTCCTGGATGACTTGGAGCAAGTCCTGTAACCTCTCTGGCCTTCAGTTCGCCCCTTTATAAAACAAGGTGGATGAATTGAGGACCTTGCAGCTCCCAGTCCATAAGAGATTTGGAGGAGCAGGGCTGAATCCAGTTGGGTGGGAAGTAAGAACATTCTCACCAGTCTCACATGGAAAAGCCTCTTGATGTCTGTTTCTAATTTCTCTCCAAAAAGAAGACAATCCCTTTCAGATAAGTTAGAAAGAATCCAGAATTTCTTCTCCAGAATTCTCCAGAATCTGGAAGGTATAATTGTCTCCAGTATCCATTTTCTCATTTGTAAAATAATTGGGTATGGAGCAGATGATCATCTCTTGCACAGATTAACTTTCCTTTCCTGCATCCTCCAACCTGAAGCCTTTCATGTACCGCATTGTGAACAACTTAGGAAAAAGCATTTAGGTGGGGACGATAGTAAGCTTTTGCCGTTCCTCTACTTCGATTTTGAAAATTATTGCTAGCATAGAGATGCCTCATGCCCTGAGAAGGAACACAAGAGGGTGATGAACTGTATTTGTGACTGTTGCGCCATCTTCTTTTGCTGTGGTTAATAGTAATCATCTCTTCCTCCCTCCCCCTTTCCTGCCACCTTTTTCCTTCCCCTCTTGCCTTTCCCATGTACTTTTAATTCAATTTGTCACTCCCTTTTTCCTTGATTTATTTTTTTTTCTTTTTAACCTTTCACCCTACTCTGTCTCTCCTACTTGCTTGCGTTCCATGTTGCTAGTTTTTATGTTCGCACGCTCATTATCACCCTTTTTTGTACTTCAAATCCCAGCAGCTGTCCAGCCAGGTCCCTGAGCACAGCCCCGTGGTTTATGGGACTGTGGAGAACACTCATCTTGCTGCCGGCACCCCTGTCACTGCGCCTAGCGACCCGAAGCAAGGTTTGTTTATGGCTGTTTTCTCCCTGTTCTCTTGAGTTCTTTAGTCTTCTCTCTGTCTCTTTCTTGTTAATTATGTTTCCCTCCCTTCCTTTTCCCTCCCCCCGGCCCCCACACTTACCTGTGTGAGGAAGGTATCCAGCCTCGAGACTCTTCATGAAGCTGAGAGATGTTGACTAGCAAAGTGTATTTCTGAGGAAAGTGAGTCAGGACTAGTTACAACTTTTCCCATTTTTACCTAAAATCTCATTGTCCCCTAACATAACACAACAATTCCCCTTTCTAGAGCACTGTAGGGTTTATGTAGTGTTTTTCTCACTATAACCCCATATATACTTATTCTCAAGGCTGGTAACATTTTGCTTATAATTTTGATTGGATACATCATTTCGCTATTTTTTAATTTTTAAAGAAATGCCATTTGTCTCCCTGAAATATTGGACTCCCCAGGCCATTTTTATTGATAATGTAATTCTACTTGCCTCTACTACAAAATGCTAAAAAATTTCCTTGAAAATCCTAGTTTTAGTGTCTCTAGAATTACAAAAGGAGAAAGTTTCTTTTTTCCTAAAGACACTTTTAAAATTGACTGACTCCAGAATGAGCTTCAGTGGTAATACAGTCAAATGTCTGTAACCCATTGAGAGTGTCAGTGTATGTGGGATAGCCATGGCTTCCTTCTTAACTCTGCTTACCGAGATTTCAGGATATCTAAACCCTGGGACCTGGGATAAGATTATGGCAGGAATATTGGGTGCCCATTGTATATACTTATGTGTGGGTGGCTGCATTCCAAAGACAAATAGAAATAAGTTTTGAATATCTGCTTCTTTGAATTATTCATGCTTTTATTACTTTCGATGAGTAAGAATTATTCCAGAATTTTTTTGGAATAAATTTTCAATATGTTACTATTCTTTAAAATATTTTAAAATTGTCCTAGAATTTAAAGTGGAGGGGAAATTAATTGTGCAGACCAAATGTTAAGGGTCACATTATAAACCTACTAGAAGTTGGACTTGTAATATACTTCCATTGCATTACGCAGTAGTAATGTGTGATTATTGAGATGTAAGTGTAGTATGTCTTAGAGTTTAAGCATGGTGTTTAAGAGTGTTATTTATGTTGAGGCTTCATGAAATTAAGAATTAAAATGTTCTTAATGGAAGAAAAAAACTGCAGACCACAAATTAACTAAAGGCTCTACCCCGTCTGTGTTCCTTCAGAATTAGGCTTCATATACTCCTCTAGCCAATGATGAGGAGCAAAGGAGGAGTTATGCTTGTTTTGAGCCAATTTAAAATGCATTAAAACCATGCTTTTTACCAAGGTTTGACAGATTATTTTAGAGCATCTTGAAAAATCTAAAAGTTGAAGTTGGAAAATGCTTTACAGGGGGAAAATAAACTTAGCATTTACAAATAATTTGGTTTGCAGGCTCACGCAAATGACATAAAATTCTTGAGTCAGAAATCAACCAGATGGCCAGTTTTGGATATAGAGTAAATCTCAAAACTTTCTCTTTGGAAACGTGGTTGTTCATTCAACACTACTCTTTGGTGACGCTGGGGGTTGTCCCCATGTTCAGTGTTGCCAGTACACCTCAGACTTGACCCATAGTCCTAGGGCAGAATTGTTTTTGAGTTTCCTCCCCCACTTTGCCAAGAGAGGAAATCTTGTACACACCATCGTGCTGCCAGACCTGAGCTTTCCGAGGACACAACAGCCTTGTTCAGTTGTTTTATCAAGAAGTATGCTAATGTTTGGATAAAACCCCTTTTGCAAGTTCAAACCTAGATTTTCAGAGGGTGTGGGAGAAGCTGACCAGCATGGTTGTTCTTCATGCTTTTTGGTTAGTGCATTCAGTAATAAACATTAGTCTTTTAGAATTGTAAACTGTCAAAAAGAGTGTTTCAGAGTGCCATGAAGAAAAGAGAACCCATTTTCCAGAAAAGGTTTTTTTGGCCAGTTTTCTTTTCTCCTTGCTCATGTTGTGATATGACATCACCATGAAGATGCTCACACCTTCTAAATGAGGAGCACGTGGGGGAGTCAAAGGCCCTCTAGAGACTTTTAGGGGGTGTGGGCTCATTAGGAAAGAGTAAAGAAAGCGAGAGCCAAGGCTTGTTCCGGGGTGAGCCGTGAGTGGGCCCCTGCCTGCCCAGGGTTGGTCCTGAGCTCCCCCAACCCCCTGAGCCGCAGAGCCAGCGATCGCGCCTTCGTTCCTGTGACTTTAGCAGTGCTGGGTGTGCTTTGGCCTAAGCTCCACCAAAGGAAATTCCTTTTGAGAAAACTGTGCTTAAATTGTGCTCCCTCTGATTATGAATGCAGAGCTCTTGGTCTGTAGTGCTTTTACCCACATTGTCAATTTATCCAGTGTTCATACAGGATTTTTTCTGACGAATGGTTCCCAGAGTGGATGTACCCAGGGCCATATATAACCAGCCACAAGAGTAAATTAGAAATTAATGATTTCCAGCAAGAACATTATTGCCCTACAGCGTAGTTTGATGGTTCTAACAGTATTTTGTATTGTAAATAATACAAGGATTCCCAAATTTCCTCTTTACCACTGTAATCAAAGTAGGGGCCAATTTTTAGATAGCATGAAACCCATAAATTAAAGTGAGTTTTAAGGCCAGTTAGTTCAGAGGCAAGAAAAACAGAAGTTTTATGAGTCTACCGGTAATGTTTACCACCAAGGATATGTGATTAGGTGATTAGACCTTTGTTGGTAGGTTTTTTGGCCAATATCTGGTGATAAAGGACAGGGATCGGTGATGCTTAAAAGTCTGTGAAAGAGAAAGTAAAGTTGTTTTTTTGTATCATAGGGATGCTGTTTCTAATGCATTTTAAAATTTGCTTTCTTTTGAATGATGGTCATGCAGTCTTTGTTTCCAGTGAAGCCTGTTATCTTGCCACTCACCCACCTGGAAACTAGGTGTAACTCATCTTCATTTTCAGTTCCCCAGATTAGCTTCCTTTTTGGTACCTGGAATTTACAAATTCTGAAAGCATATCTTTTAAAAAATTCTTTCTATTTTTTGTACCCTAAAAGTCTTTGGACTTTTTGTTTTGACAAAGGCTTAGGAAAAACAAATGTTTTATTTGCTGAACCTTATTTTTCTGAATGTCCACTTTGCCTCATACTTTTATAAATTCTTCACCATTTGAAGCCCTCACAAAAATTGTCAAAATTATTATTTGACCCAAGCCGTGAGATTCTTATTTCCAATTTCTTTCCACTTATAAGAAATATGACTTTAGTTTAATTTTTAAAAGGAGTTTTTATTTTACATATAGAAGGCTATTAGCAAATATTTCTGGAATGACCTCTTTTTAGATACATGGAACCCCAAGTTATCTGCCTGTGTTGGAAATCAGTCTCTGCCACAGACACAGAGCCTCTCAGAAGAAGTTTCTGCATGGAGCAGAAGTGTGGCAAGGCTGTAGGCCTTTCTACCATGGGAGCTAACCCTGATTCCTTTAGTAGTCTCCCCTAGATGGATTTTCCGGGGGTTTGGTTAGCTATCCCCGTTAAGCCACCTGCTTTGACACAAATCAATTTGCTGAATTAGGCTTCCTGGGATATAAAACAGTCCTACCCCAAAATCAAACCTAAGGCTGTTGGGGATAGTTTATTTCCCCAAAGGATATGAGTTGGCAGTGGGTGTGATCTAAAGAAAAGAGGGGAGATGATTAATACCTTTCTAGGGCTAGTAGGTAATGCATCATTTTTTGGTCTCCTAGTTATTGTTAAAGAGCTTTGAAATCTAAGATCAAAGAAGTAGCCCATGATAATGTGATGCAAATTGATACAAGAAGTCTTCTTAGACTTTGTATTTTTTCTTCCCCCAGAAGAGAAGCCAAAACCAGATCCAGTATTGAAGTCTCCTTCCCCAGCCCTTAGCCTAGAGCCTAGTGGGGAAAAGAAAGAACAAGCTGGTCCAATACCTGAGACGACTTCAGTGGGATCTGTGGCAGAGCTTCCTCCTCCTCCTCCTCCTCCTCCTCCTCTGTCACCTGGAACCATGGCTCCAGCTGCTCTCAGTACTGTTCCTCCCACCACCACCGCTGTCCCTCTGTGTAACCTGCCTGCCTTCACAGCAGATGGAGAGGATCGATGTGAACTTGCTTCCCCAAAAGAGGATGTCATACCTTTGTCCAGTCCTGTACCTTGCACAGAAACGTCAAATCCGTCACCAACACACGAAGCAGAAGATGATGTGTACAAGGATCCTTGTAGCATAGCACCCAGTGATATTCCAGTGATTTCGACTACAGACCTCATTAATGAAATGAATGGAGTTAGTGAAAAATTGACAGCTACAGAGAGTATTGTTGAAATTGTAAAACAGGAGATGTTGCCTTTGACTGTTGATCTGGACGTTCTGGAAAATCCCCCCGAAGATCTAAAAGTGGAGAGCATATCGACACCCATCACCATTTCCGCTGTTCTTTCTATTTCTCCATCTCCTCCTACTCCTCCAGCTTCCCCCCCTTCAGTTCCTGCTGCTGTTCCTGCTACTCTCGCTACAGCTAGTGCTCCTAATGTTCCTGCTGCTGTTGCTGGAGTTTTAGAAGAAGAGGAAAACGTAAGAACTGCCCTTAGTGATGATGTAAAAGATAGCCAACCGAAAGCGGAGGTGGAAGCTGATGGGCAAATGGAAGAAATTGTGGATTCTCAGAACCCGAATTCACGAAAGAGCCCTGTCCCAGGTAAGCTTTGCTACTTTCAGAGCCTATGATTTGCTGAGCATGAGGAAAAGTTGTATTGACTGCGTTGATTTTTTAACTGGCTGTTTTCCTTATTTCAGATATTTTAAGGATCTGTTATTTCATCTGCTTGGGTTATCCATCCACCAGGATGATCAGACCCTCTACACCTTTAAGAAACTGTCTTCCTAGGTTACTGTAGCCAGCAAAAACAATGATATCAGCAAAAACTTGATAGTTAGTGTTACTTGGCCTGTGCCAGTTAGACCTGATGTAGAATTTGTATTCTGCAGGCAGCCTTAGATCCCCCCCTAGATCACCTCTGGGCCATGCAAAGGTATTAGAGTAGGGTCTAATAGAGGGCTGTTGATCTGAAAGTTCTGGAAAATCCCCCAAAGATCTAAAAGTAGAGAGCATATTGACACCCATCACCATTTCCGCTGTTCTTTCTCTTTCTCTATCTCCTCCTACCCCTCCAGCTTCCCCCCCTACAGAAAATAGCAAGGTTAAAATCTCTAGGCTGTTTTCATCTGTGGAGATTTTTTTTTCAATGTGTTCTGTAACATTCTTCTTACTTTCTTGGCTTAGCATGTAAATGGAATTTTCCAAAATAATATATATATATAAAATGCATTGAAGGAATGTGACATTTACTGATTTGATAGCTCATTAATTCCAATGTCTAAGTTGTTCTAAATCAGCTGTGCAATAGTGTGGTTAGTGGGAATGGAGTCCTCCCAAGGCCTGTGTGATTTTGGCTCCCTGCTGGCTTGGGGGCTGACTTCAGAATGGAAGACATAAGTCATGGCTGGAATCATCAGGTCTTTGTACATATAAAACCACTTCCTGCAAACTTGGATTAAAGAAAATAGGAAGCAGAGTAGCTGACTTAAGTTTGGAGATGATGTGCTTGGTTTTGAGAGAATAAAATGCCATCCTGAGAAATGTGAAACCCTCTGCTTTTCAAATAGTGGAATCTTTTTCCTTTAAATTTAATGTGGACTTATTGATCACTAAAGTGTAGACTTTCCATTTGCTAAATCAGTTCTTAATATCTACTATAGTTGACTGAGCCCCTGGTTTTATACATATACTTTTCATTAAAGTCTTATAATCCCCAGTGAAAGCGTTCCTCTTTTCAGCTATGTTTGGGTCAATAGCATTGTAGTTTTATCTGAAAACCAGTAAGGTTAGTCCCTTTTTGGGTAATTATGTTACTGTTGTCATTGTTCATAAGATCCAGCGCTGTTTCTTTAAATGTAGATGAGTGTAGACAGGAGTTAAGCAGTTTGATGAGTAAGAGTGGGTCCCCAGCAGGCTGAGTTAGAAAAGCAGAAGGGAGTTGTAGCTGGTCATTGCCATCAGCCCCATCCCCATCCTTGTTTATTGAGTGGCTGCTGTATGCTACACAGTGTCAAAGGGAATTTATATGTGCTTGTCCAGACCCTTGCCCCATCTAGCCTTTCAACTGTCAATGGATGTGAAGGGCTTTGAAAACCTTGAAGTGCACTGTAAATGTGAGCTGTCAGTGTTAGCCAGCCCAGCCCAAAACCGGAGAATTCCCTCACAACCCACTTGGGAAGTGGTCATTCAGCTTTTATTTGCTAAGTAATGAGTGTAGGCCTGAACAGGTGGACATTAGCTAGATAAAAAATTCAGTTTGTAGTACATTTGAGGAAAGCATCTAATAGATAACATAAAATCAAGATACTAGAATTTGCTTTCAACATTTTTAAGGGGTTGGATGCCTTTATTCTAGAGTGGTATTATATAACCTGGGGTCTGTGAATTTGGGTTTTTTTCTGTTGGAAAACTATTAAAAATAATTGATTTCCACTGTAATCCTATGTAATTTATATCTCATATTTAAAATCATTCTTCTGAGAAGGGGTCCACAGGCTTCAACATACTGGCCAAGGGGACACAATAAAGGTTTAGTGATCCCTCTGTTCTAGAGGCAGAATTTCCTGATAGCGAAATGGTATTTTTTTCCTAGAGGATGATCATAATAGTTCATATTTATTTAGCTAACCCTTTACAGTTTGTCAAGTACTTTCCTCACACCTCTTGGGAGTAGCTTAAATAGGGATAATGAAGAGCTCTGTTTCCTGTAGTCTTTGCTAAAAGCCATGAATTTAAGCGGTGTCATTTTCCTGGGAGTTGTTCTGCCAGATTAGAGTTGAGTCTGATTACCAGGAGCTGTCTTTCCAGGGAATTGGTGTATACTGCATACAGGAGTTGCTGATCAAGGTGCAGTTTTTTCTACACAAGTAAGATATATACTACCAATAGCAGTGTATTTGCAGGTGAAGTGGAATGAATGAACACAAAAATGTGTGCACATATCTGTTCTATAATTAAATTATGTACTTCTGTCTTAAGAGATCGTCAGTTCCCTATCTATGCTAAATTAGTCCTAAATTAATTTTCAGTCCATTTTAATAATGAGTTGAAAATGGCACAGTGGAATTTATTAAAATGCAAGAATCATAAAATACCGATGAGCCTACAAAGGCAGCAATAAAATATAATAAAGTGGCCTATAAAGGGTGTTAATGGAATCATTGTAGTAAGCTTAGGCTGCTCTCTGCAGCTGCTGCAGGAATTGTTGAATAGACTATATTGAGCTGAGTTTATTAGTCTGAACCTGACAGTCTTTTTTACCATTTCCTTTTGGTAAAGATTTTTATCCCACTGGTATGCATGTGACTTGTGGGAAGAATTAGTTAGGCAAAGGATAGATGGATATAAAAGGAAATATTCCCTTTTTCCAATGGTCAGATTTCATTTTAGAGACCACTCAGGTCAAATTTCATTTTTCTGATTTATGTGTTAATTCAGATGGGTAGGATTGGTTAAGCTAGGTGTTGCTTTGCCTTTATCTCTCACAGTTAACTTGAGATAACAGAGGTATAAGCAGTCGTAAGCTTTGATAGTGTTAATAATAGCTTTCACTGATTGTGTGCTTCATCAAGCACTTTCTTAAGCAACAACAACACTGTGAGGTAGGTAATAGGAAGGTTATCCTTTTGTTCAATGTAGTTAATAGTCCTGGTCAGGTCATAAGAAGTGTGGATTGCAACCCTGTTCTTCTGGTTATAGTTCAGTTGCATTGGCCCGTATTTTGTCTCTATACATATAGGCCTGGCTGCTGTGTACATTACAATTGTGTGCTTGAAATGTGAGAGAATAGTTCACAGAATATTAGAATGTTCAACATCATCTAATCTAACACTTTCATTTTGGGTAGGAAGAAGTCAAGGTAACAAGTAGTTCAGTTACACAAGCCATTTCTCTTAATTACCAGTCAGGGGTCTCTTCCTGCTAAGCTAGGCTGCCTCTCATAAAGGGCATAGCTTAAAGATGCAGACTCTGTGGGCTGTAATGTCCTTCTGCTGTTAGACCACACTGAAACCTTTGGAATCAATGATGCTTTGATGGGCATGCTCATAGGACGTGAGACCCTGTCAAGGCTGTGTAATCCTTCTTTTAATTGCAATTATAATTTAAGTTGTATATTATCTTTCATCTTTAAGGCCTCTTTTGCTTTACATCTGGGTTGCCTTAGAAATCACTCTTAGCATTTGATGTTAACCTACGCGATTCTGTCTTAGGAATCTAGATCTACCATTGACTGAGCCCCAGGATTTAAGAGCTAGGGAGAACTTTGGAGGTCATCTGGCCCAACTCTTTCATTTTACAGATGAGAACACTGTGGCCTATAAAGGGAAAGGGACTTCGTCCAGGTCACATAAATGTAATAACTATCACGTAGCAGAGCCAAGGTGTGAATTCAAGAAATCCAGATCTTTGCACTATACTGCTGCCTCTGGGCATTATTAGCAGGCCAAACTACCATGACCACTTCTGGGAATGATATCTAAGTTGGTGTAGTTCTAGAACTTCGATGATAATTTAAGCCAGGTGTGATTGAGCTTTGGGAAAGTTGTCTTCCATCACCCAAATTTACAGCGTACTGATTGTACCAAGATCCAAAGGATTCAATTAAATTGAGTGAACGTGTATTTATTTTTTAAGGAAAAGTCTAGTTCAGACTCTCATTACCTAGACAATTGCCTCTTAACCATTTTCTTTAGCTGTATCCCTTTACAGACTGCATCAACAACATATCCAAAACAATAGATATTTGTTAAGTTTTTACTATGTTCAGAGCACTATGAGAAGTGTTAAGAATGATGCAAAGATTCCTTGCTCTCATGGAGCCCATATTCTGGTATGAAGTAATAATAATAATAATAGTAATAATAATATATACATACATTCATGCAAATACCATACACAAGTAATACAAGATGAGCATGAGAAACATAGAAAATAGTGGTTTTTTAAGATTCTGTGATGGAAGAGACAACATTTGAACTTGTTCTTGAAATAAGAAGGTCTTTATGGGGTCTCAAGTATACCTTACTGCAACAATAAGGTCCTGGGTTGTCAAGGCATCAATGGGCATGTGATGCAATGAGCAGGCATACATAGTGTGGAAATAACACTAACTTAGAAATTAAAGGACCTGGTTTTAAATATCAGTTCTTCCACTTGATACCAGATTTACATGAGGGTAGGAAAGGAGGAAGAAAATAGTTTATTTAATAATTCAACAAATAATAAGAGAATGCCTACTATGTAGTAGGCCTACAGTTGCCGGCAAATTGGCATTTTATCACAGAAGCTTCTGTGTTGTAACTGATTGGTATTCTTAAAGTTTTTGTAAACCTAGCCTAGTCCTTTGCTAGATATTCCTCAGAAGAATGAAAGAATGAGATGTTGTTCCTGCCTTTCAAGAGCTTGCAGCCTAGTTGGGAACAAAAATGTAGGAAAGAATTAGAGTGCCATTGAATGTTGTACTAGTGCTGTCTGTGAGTAGAATCAGACCCAAGCATCATGCAGTAATGTTGTGAAGAAGGAGCTGGCTTGAGCCAGGTTTTAAAGGATGTATAAGGTCTGAAGCCTCCAGTGCTGCCACAGCAGTCCAGTCCAGTCTG